GATAACACCTCCCGTACCCTGATCTGGCGCCCGTTTTGGTCCAGCGCATATACCACGCGGTCCGTTTAGGGGAACACTATTCAATTCCCATGCGCACAAAAAGTAATGGTTAAGTCGAGTAAGTGAGCCCTCTCAGTTGACGGCCCTCCAAGGCGTGTCTGATACCAGTTTTATTGTGGTGAGGTATGTGCTGACGTGCCGTGGAGATGGAGTCCCTTGAGTCTACTTCTTTCTTTCCCTTCCCTCGTCCCCTGCACTCCCTTTCACTGTCCGAACCGATCCCCCGTCCGATGCTAGCATTGATTGCAGAGGTTGACAGGACCGCAAAAATCACTGTACGCATCCCACACGCGATCTGACCTCCCCTGTATAGCATATCAGTCTTCAGAAAAGCGGGGGAAGGGTGGTGATACGAAGTTAAAACTAATTATTGACGCCACCCACAAGAACGCGAAATTAAAAGAGATAAGAAATATAAGCTTTTGATTTAACCAAACTGCCTAACTCCCAGATCCTCATCGAGTGCACTTATTACTTTATTCACTGGGGGCTGTGTGGTTATTCAAAATTCTCTTAACATTGACAAGCAGGATGAGCCTGACTTAATGCTATGTAAAGTTTTGCTGCAAGTGCATGTCAGTAATTAAACGTTGCAACGGGCCTTTTGGGCTAGTCCGACATTTTGTCATATGGATGTAGGATAACAGAGGAATGTCATTGATATCTGTTAAAATTGAGCTTAATTAACTACTGTTGCAGACTATTATTAAACCTGGATACAGTTTTTTTAGTAAAAACGACAAAACGTGATTGAAACTAAGATTGCAGATAACCCATTCCTCTGCATACCGACGTATTTTGCTTTTCACTTTTTGCATCTAAATGCTCACACTTATATTAGGCGTTTTTTTTATCAAACACAGTTGCTGTTGGAACATTTGGAGTGCTTGGTAGCTCAACACGAACGGTCCCTGCGAATGACGGTTGTCAAGCGACACACTGGTTCAACAACAAGTATCCCTGGAGCAATCTCAGAGGACTACAACTCTTGTACCAGCGGTACTGGCGGCTCTAGTGGCATCAGTTCCGAGGTGGAGGTTCTGAAAGCCCTAAAATCCCTTTTCGAGCACCACAAAGCGTTAGACGAGAAGGTACGAGAACGCCTCAAAACGGCTGTGAATAAGGCGAGTCAGCTGGAACAGGAGCTTTCTGAATTGCGGGCAGCGGATGGAGATAAGTTAAAAGCCTCATTCTCAGCTGCTGTCGGCGGCGGCGGGAGCGCCTCGAAACGGAGTATTGCCACCAGCACCGACACATTCGGAGGACAAGGTAACGTTCCGTAAAGTTGACTTTATTTTCATTTATTCAGATGCTGAGTTACTCCTCACCACCTCCCTCATAAACGAGGTTTCAGTGCCTGCATACAGTGTATTTAACTTATATCAACACAACCTTAATTCAAGCTCTATGGAGAGCACACCCTTGAGGACATGATTTATAACCAAAGGAAGCAATCCCTGCCTAGTGTGTTAAGCTGTGTAAAAAACGTGGCTAAATGTCGTATACTGAAAATGTTTATATGGACTCCTCACTGACGGCGTTATAAGGCAAACACGAGGCCAACTTTATTAAGAACGAATGAAGTGTATCAGAATAAGAAGTGAGTTCCCTACATGAGAAAATTGCTAGGTTTCTTAAAATATGCCACTATTTTAACCTTTTCATTCATTCATTGAGATTTTTCTATATTCATCCCAGGAACCTGACTACTTTGTCTTCGTATTTTTTTTTAAAACTTGATGGCATCGTCAGCCTGATACAAATTCCTGCGCTGTCAATGAAAAATAAGTATTTGAATTCATCATTGAATTAAATACGCCGCAGATAGCCTTTTTGTTCAGTAATGTCTCAGGAACTTTTGAATACGACACGAGAATCACAACAATACCAATGACCTTGCGCAAAAACTATATGGAGATTAGAGTCAGTTTTAGAACGCAAAAATAGGTTGCTTGCCCTGGTGCAGGACCACCTGCATCGTTGGGTCAGGGATTCCTTTTCGTATGTACCAGCATTTTTAGTAGACAAAATGATGACTTCCTTTGAGAGAAAGAGAAAGGTGTACGTTTTATTTTGAAGGCAACATTCAAAATGTCACGCACTGAGACCACACGATAAATTAACAAAATACGCAAACAATCTATAGATTTACGTAAAATGTCCATCTGTTATACAGACAGGTCTAATCTTAGCTTCTAGATTTCAATTTCTTTACACGTGAGGTAGCGTGCTAGAAATATCAGTACAGAATACTGATATGATACTATACGGGACATATTCACGGAGGATTCGGAACATAGTAAAGGAGATAGCGGAAACGTTAATTCAGAGCGGAGGAGATGGGTAACCTCCTCAAGAATGCAATCAGTTAATTGGTTGACCGTTGTTAAGTGTCGCTGCATTATAATATCAGCTAAAAAGTATAAGAAACACTGGCAACTGAAGAGATCATTCAGAGGATACGTTTAAAAATCAACACATCTTTTTTAAGCAAGGCTGGAAAATAACCGGAGAGCAGGCCTCTGTAAATCGCCAGACGAGGACATGGGATATGTGATAGGAACATAATCAATGGATATAATATAGGAGTTTACGAATTTTAGTGAAAAGGATTTCAGTATGAAGCGAAATTGAAAGATCAGATGTCAGAGTAATACCAAGGTACCGAAAAGGGGATACCTCGAAGGCAAAATGTCTCAGGATTCAGGATTGCGAGGGAATTGCAATCGGAAAACGCAATGGACTGAATTTTGATTATTCAGTACGAGAACATTGGCTAAAGTCCAGATTGAGACACGGCTCATGTGATCTTTTAGAACCTGGAGATGTGCCTGGCTTTTGCGAGGATTACTTACAACCATATCATCAGCGTAGTTTACGTACAAACATTTATCTGGTTATCTTACGTCGCCAGTGCGGAGGGAATAAATGTAAAGGGAAAGGATAGACTCTTGGAGAACGCCGTAGTTGTTGCAAAGGGCCGTGGATGTTTGCTTGCCGCATTGGACGGATGGATTGCGGCAAGCAAAATAGTTTTTAAGCAAAGAGACAGCCAGGAGTTACAGGATACACAATGTTGACAACACAGGCACTAGGATAAAGCCCAAACAGGTGTTTCGTCGGGATGCCGCCGCTGTTTGACACAGCTGCGAGGGGACCTGCTCATCAATGACGACTCCAGCGTTCCCTGTATGCTTTCTGACAGATACTCCAGTTTCTCCGCTGTGGTCGATAGAAGTCGACTCAGATATTCATATCGACTTTCAGTCTACACATGCAAACTCTCAAGTAGCCAGATTTACGTCAAATTGTCTTTTAAGTTCTGAGAAAATTCAAAAGCAACAATTTAAGGATGGGAGTACCTCCCAGAAATCACGTACGGAATGCTGGAGACTCACTGATGGGCCGAACCCCTCGTAGCTGTGTAAATCAGCGACCTAATGCCGATGAAATACGTATCTGTGCTATCAATATACTGTACCATGAAACCCCTATATGTCCTGCTGGCTGCCTATTGGTATTTTAATGAAGAGAACGCTGCTATCCCAATGAGGTTGAAAGAAGTCCGTTCAGATATTTGTATACATTTTCAGTCCTCCCAGCTACTCCTTCAAATAGACTGATAAATTCCAAGTAAGCGATTATTATCTGAGAAAATTAAAAAGTAACCATGATTTTCCTTTCAAATTGCATCAAACGAAATATTTGGTAATTGTGGTAGATCGGACAGCTAAGGCGTTTTTGTTTAGAAAAGTAAATTACCAGCAGAATATCAAGACACATGGGATGGGTTGAAAAGAAACAAATGGATATTTTGTAGATGTCAAGTTTTATAATTTTTGCAAAAAATTTCCTTTGCATAATGGACGCGTGAATACTATCAGCGAGGACAGCATTAAGTACTGCGGAGAAAGACAAACGAAGATGCATGTTCGTCTTTGTTTAAAATGAACTAAGTGATAAACAGACTGCCATTGCACTAAGAGAACAAATACGGGATTGTTTCGTTTGTGCATTGTGTCCAAAATGCTAGTCAGCATAGTACTCATAGCAGAGGTGGTCCTGCAACGGTTGGAGTCGCGGGTTTTCCAACACCACAGACCGAAATTCTGGGTTCGGTATTTGGACGACACCTTCATCGTAATTGAGCGGTATCAGGTGCTGACATTCAAGGAACGTCTAATCGCCGTCTTCCCAGACATTAAATTTACGATGGAGGAAGAAAAGAACAACCAACTGGTCTTCCTGGATGTCCTTGTTTGCCGCAAAGGCGGTGGTGGC